GGTGATATTTCCTCAATCATAGGAACAAGCGCTTGTCCTCCTTTGGGGCTGTCTGGGGTTTCGGCTTGCCTGTTAGTGCAGGTCTTCGCGGCATTTGCATGTTTGGCGGCGTCGGTAGTTTAGCCGCTTTGCGGGCTACTGTCACCCAGGGCGAGCTGGTATCTTGAGGCTTTGAGGGTAGGGCGTGGCTGTGATCCTCAACAGCTGTGTTGTTCCTAGGCGCGACTGGTTTGGGAGTTCTTGCCATGGTAGGGGGCTTCTTACTTTGAAAGTTTGTTGCTTCTACCTGATCTACTGCGAAGGCAGTAACAACAGGCGTGGTGTTTTCCAGCAGAGTCGCGACAATTACTGCTGCTTGCTTCTCTCCTTTGCTCTTAGCCTAGGAGTCGATTAGTTCAAGAAGTTCCTAGGCTATACCCAATCTTTCTTTCCTTTATTGTTCTGCTTTTTGCATTTTGTTTACAATGTCAAGCAGGCTTGAGTGGAGTTACCCTCCTAGGTTGGAGGGCGTTGTTGATGACAATGCAATAGCTGGGGTCATTGCATCGGTTGGAGATTCTTGCGGAATGGGTAATGGGCAATGAGATGTGGAATGTGGGATAGGTCAAAAATGGCAATTCTTGAAATGTCGTTTTGTTGTGAATACCACAGATCAGCTCCGATCGAGTCCCATTGAGCTTCCACTATTGCGGCACTTGGACACCCGGGTGCAGGAAGCTAGGTAATATTAGGGCACTGACAGCACAGCTGAGGGCCTAATCACTCTGGCAACATCCCCAGGTCCTAGCGTTGCCTGGTAGACCAATGCGTCTAGAATGAGGTACACATCTTTTGATGGCTACCAAGGGGCAACAGCATATAATGTGACGATTGTATATAGCTCTGTAATCCCAGAAGTTCCACACTGGCAACCAGTATCAATGGTATGTTATGTCAGGAGATATTGGTAGTGGCTATAGAAGTGGTTACTGTGACAGGAGTAGAAAGCACCCGTGATGAGTGCGTGATCAGGACTGGGGGTTGAACGTGTATATAAGGAAGCAATACTTCCGCAGATAGATGGATTACCATCTAACCACTGTCCATTCCAACGCATCTTCGCATTACAGCTACATCAATTAGATCCGCATATCCATAATCATCTGCATCCATTTTAGGTATTCCTCTGTCTCCTCATGACCTCGTTATCATAACACGTTTCTCTGAGGGAATTGTTATATACTTGAATTTAGGGATTAAGGTTGGAGTCCTGATTTCGGAGTCGGAGTAAGTGGTTTCTTCTGAGTTATAATTTACCTTCTACTTTTTCTGTAGCGGGTCTCGCGGTTGGAATGAGCTGGGACTGTTAGCAGTGATCCCCGCCGACTCCACTAGTCTTGTACCTATAGTGAACCTAGAGCTTTTGCTTAGGACTTTAATTAAATTAAAAAAAACTCTGTTCTGGGTCATGGCAATTTTGCGGCATACCACTGTTGTTTTAATAATCCATACACTCCTTTGGAGTGCTCTTGCAGGAAGGAAACTACTCCAACCCACTTCATCCACTGTAGTCACCTCGCACAGCAAACGCGTAGGCTCCGAAAGTCAATGTCCCACACTGACTTTATCGAAAAGCTTCTCGGGCCCAAGGGCCACAATAGCTTCAAAATATTTGCGGAGGAAACCGGCTGTTTTGATAGACTACCTGCTTACTCATCCACTGCTCTCACGTTGTGCTAGTGATGGCTAGGATTACGATGCACAAGGGTAATGATCACTGAGGGTGAAGGAAGAACTTTTCAGGTGGCTCCATTATGAGGAGAGGAACAATGGAGCACTGAATAGAAGGTGTCTCTAGATTGTACTGCCAGATGGAGGAGACTAGAATATTCCGTGATACTATTTTGGGTAAATGAGACGAGAGTCTATGTTTGGATTAGGTCCTGGTCAACAATGTCTAGCCCAATTTAGCTATGTTGCAGGCTGCTGTTCCAATTATTCATGGGGTCATCATCAGGGTTGTGAGTAGTTTCAGTTTGGTGTGGGTTGTTAGATTGATACCTGAGCGTGTCGCATAATAGTCAGACATGCGACTCGAGTAGCATATGCACGGTAAACCTAAGCCCCAGACTGATGATACGAATCAGGTTTTACATGCTACGTCCTGTATGGCTAGCGTGGTTGGAATATGGTGAATTTACCTGTAGATAGATAGAGACGTTGTAGCCCTCTGATAGTTGGGATAAGTCTTCTACAATATTATATCGGAATCAATACTAGCCTCTCATTAAGAAATGTCATGAATTATTTCCAATGTCTGTGATAACAGACATCCATATACAATATCGACGACAAGTTTAAAGTCGATAAGTCTAGCTACCTCAGATGTATATATAATTAGTGCTTTCTACTTCCTAAATCCTCATAGTTCTGAGTATCAAATATATCAGCAGTTCATATTTGTAACGGCTAAGAAGCCGGTATTTTCCTGTAGCCAGTAATGGCAAGTACTGGTGTATAACTACCAGGGGGGTGGGCCGGCGCAATAGCCCTGCAGAACATACCAGAACCACTGTCGAAGGTACTAGATAAGATTCGACATGAACAAGACTGTAACTGAAACTAGGAGAAGCCACTAGAAACCATATTCTCAGAGTTGCAACTGGAATTATCTAGAAATGAACTGACCTTAGATGGAAGGGCTTGGAGTGTAGTAATCTGTATAAATACCTGGCTAAGTATCTGTTGCTTAGTTCTACATAGTTGAATTGTTAATATACCATCATCCATACAAATGCTCCCTGCTTTCTATAGTTGATCTGTGACAATATTGATTCATTGATAATCATCTGTAAACCTTCTGCCAATTAACCTCCGTAAGCTCTTACCTTTACAACATCTCAGCGAGGATCAGATAAACTAGTCATTGCCACAATGCATGACACGAAAGGGAAAGAGGCGAGAAGTATCGTCCCTCTGAGGAAAGATTGTATCTATTTAGACTAGGGGGAAAAGGAGTGATTTTTTATCTAAGAGTTGGAGTAGATGGTGTCTACGTCGCAATTTACTTCATACTATTTCTGTAGCGAGTCCTGCAGTTGGAATGAGTTGAGCCTATAAGTGGTGATGCCCGCCAGCTCCACACGTCTTGTACCATTAGTGGACCCGGAGCTTTAGCTTAGGACTTTAACATAAAAAATAAAAGCACTGCTTCATCTTTCTGAAAGAGCACGAATCCAGTATAAAGCTTTTTCCAAACTAAGGCAGCCTACCCGTTACGGTTCCGGTATATAGAGCTTGGGCGTTTGTATGTCAAAAGATAAGTTTTTTTAGCTGAAGAACAAAATGAATCCTACATCCAGTGCCCTATTCATATACATGATTCTAAAATTCCAAATACTAGTCTCTCTTTCTCTCTCCAAACACTAGTAGCTGTCCTCCAGTCATGCTCCCATCATACAGGTGTGGGCTAGTCACCAACAATGTTTCTGTAGGAGTAATCATGCATACAGTAGCCTAATCAGCTTGGAGTTAATTTAACCCTGAAACTAATCAGGAAGGAGCTTTGGATTAGTCATGAATTAGTCGTAGAAGGAAAGGTGGTCAATGCTGACGAGGAAAACTTTTCCAGTGTAAAGTTCCTTTGAATAGGAGTCCTTGGCTAGAGGTAGTTGGTATATGTAAACTTAATTCAATTTATTTGTTAATTCGCCCCAAAGAAAACCTACAGTAGCCGTCGCTCTAAGAATGAGAAACAACGGTTCCAGAAACGAATAGTTCCAGACATTCATTATAAGCGTAACTTAGCGATGAAATTATGAATATTTCTGTGCTGAATAGCACAGGCTATAGGCAATTTATTGGCTTACTAGCCACCAATCTACCATCTTCATGGTTCAGTTTTGATACTGAATAGAACGTCTGACAAGTGTAAATCAATCAATCACTATGGGATGGCGAGTTTGCTAGTCTAATTAAACAGATATACAAGTATATTATTCTCAGACTTCCAAGATATATTAAAAAGGGCAATACTGAACGCCTGTGCGCGGTGTCATCTACGAGCCTGGAAGTGATATATTCTCCCAGAGCCGAGTTCAATCAAATTTCGCAATACCGAACAAGTTGGCTTACGAGGCAATGATTCAAGACCCTCCACCTAAACAATTTCTCTCGTCCAACAAGATCGATTCCAACCAAGACCTCATCAAGTTTACAGGTACAACTTAGTACCTCCTCCTTTCAATGACCACACCATTCTTCGTCCTTCTCTGGCCTCTGTTAACCACCAAATACAAGCCCACGCCGATATTCACAACCGACGGAGGAAACAAGGCGTGGTGCCCGATCTGGGAGATATTTCTTTGGAATAGGCGTCAGAGGGATCTGGACAATTTTACAAGATGTTTTAGAGGATGGCTGTAATCTGGACTGGCGTGAAATTTGGAATTTTGACAATGAGTCTAACAAACTTAGCTTCCTGCATGCGCCAAGACTTCGGTTCCGAGAGTGCAGACGACACTATAAACATCGCCATGGTTGGATGGTGCGATGGTACATCGTCTTGGCAAGTCTGCCAAGTAGAGTCTGGATAGCTTGAACACATATCCCACTCGAGACAGCAGATTGCTAGTTCAAATCCGGCATAACACAACCACTTTTCTCGCGGCGCTGGTTTACGTGGATGACGAAGGTATGCATGGATAACCAAAGGGTTTGAAATCCCCTTTGATTGGTACTTGCAGAGGAGGATCGACTGTTTGTGTAAGTAAACACGCCTCATAGTGGAATTTGCCATTGAAATCCAGAGTATGAGTGTATCTATTGTCAAAAGAGTCATCCAACATGTATACATTGCACCGGTCATGTGTCATAGCTAGATAGCTGAGTAAAAATTCAATGATTTAAAATAAATATCTATCTTATTTCAACAGATGGTAGTACTGAAGCTTCCTCTAGTCTAGCAGCCAAATATCTAAATAGAGTCGTAGCGCTGACCTGATAGTGGGGAGATGAACTTTTTAGGAAGTTATGCTACACAAGTCGAAGATTGAATCTTCAATTGGTACATCCGCCGCTCTGGTGGTGTGATGACGCATAAACCTCTTCATCATCATGGTACATGTGTGACCAAGACCATCAAGTACGAGCATATAGTCAATTTCATTAACCCATTTGCCTTCTGGTTGTGCTAAAGTCAAAAGTCAGCCATGATATATTGATTTCAGGATGGTCTAATGCTTACAGTGAGTGTAACCCTCTAGCCGGTGAAGGTAGTAAGCAGCAGGTTTTCCATTAACACAACTGAAACTATTTCTATCGTACCCCCAATTTAACTGCCTAAGGATATTATAATCATTAATTTTTTGCACTTGACGATTGAGTATGCGCCTTGCCCCCTCTTGACGAAACGGTTCAAGATCACTTCCATACAATTTGCGGCCCTCGCAATCAAAATTTTTTGATGGTCCATATGATCGATCCGTTCCTCCACTAGCAAGGGTTGTCGCGAAGATGCTTGCGCTTTGAAAGATAATGGCTATGCTAGAAAAGCGCATGATTATTGATTTGCTGGACTCAAAGAAAAGTCACGGACGAAACAAGTTGTAATTTAAGGATGATGTCAGCGACGGCCAATCTAGATATACGTATTTCTAGCTCGGCACCTATTTGCTATATTGCGGTGCCGATTGAAATGGGAAAGTCCAAAGTGTAGTTGGTGGAGCTCCATCATCTTCCCACTCACCCTCCGTACTCTAGATCCTTCGAGGAGCCTTGGCCATGCCGTAAACACGTCTAACAAATTTAATATATTCCATGCTTCAAACAAGTTCATTTCCCTAGAGTGGGCCAGTTCAGATGAGATGTTCTTGTTGATCTCGCAATGCTTCTCACCCAGGTCCAATTATCTTTAGTCCATCTTTCCCAACTATTTTTTCAGTTTTAATGGGGGCTCACTCCGAGTGGTTCACTAGCCCATGTCACAACTGATATTTCGTTATGGACACCATCATTTGAATGACTCGCGTTTAATTGCCTTGGTTAGATTTGATGATTCTACATATGAGGCTTTTGTTCCATCACCAAGGTGTGTCTACGGGTACATGATTCCGCAGTCTCAATTCTAGCAACTTGTTAGATGCCCGTTGAACGGGAGAAACAGCTAAAAGATAAATTTGACAAATAGGACCATCTCGGCTTCATCGAGCTGGTCAGCGGACGGTAGGGTACCGACGACTGATAGGTTGTAAATCTGTAGCCAAGGCGCCATGGTATGTAACGAGACACCTGAAATAAAGCAGAATATTTCGAGGGAGATTGTTTCCAATTTTATATTTTAATGCGAGTAATGGTGAGCAATATTTGTCTGGTTAAAACTGGACTGCTAGACTTGACATGATTTAAGTCATAGATGGGTATTACAGTTATGGGTTCGGATGTATCATTGTGATGCTGACCTTTGACTGTTGGGGTATCTTTGTGTGGAGTAAAGTGTGGGAAGATGTTGAATGAGCAACACTATGATTTCTGGAGTTCCGACCCCTATTAATACTTTATTACTGATTAATTTTATTGCGCTATCTAAGTCTATGACTATGTATGACATGCAGGTCCTCTCTGCACACAGGCCAAGGATATCTATACCAGTAGTATATCCCCTCCTATGCCTCCCATACAGCTCGCCTCAAACAGTACCACCCCTCACAAGTCCTCATTCGATCATACACTAAGAGGAGCCCTTAGCCCTTCATTATCTCCCCTCTCCAGCCAACGAAACGATGGCAATTTGTGGGTGTATGGCAGCCGGGAAAAGTCGCAAAAACCACTGGGTGCGGAGCTCTCCTAATACCGTCATTTGGACTAAATCCGAAGACATAATGATCCTTCTGAAGCGTGCGAAGGGGCCGGCCAACTAGGCGCTGCAGACTTGTGGCTACCTCGGAGAATTCACCGTCTGTATTTCTAGCCTCCTTCCAACTCGTTCCCGAAGGTCGTGCTGAAATGTCGGAAAAGTCTTGACAGAGAGTGTTTGCTGTACAGTAGCTTAGCTCAACTATTTTTTATGATGTCCAGGGCGCTGGGGAGTGCCGTTGACTCATCGACAGGAGAAGCCCACCTGGCTAATTAGCCGAAATCTCGGACTTGGCACCGACAAAAAATTCAAAGTTGAAAACTCCTCGAAAATATCAGACCAAGCATGGTCTTCAGAGATCTGTTCCCCTCTCGCACCACATCTCAGCCGCCTGTTCTCCCTCAAGCTGTTTGTTTCATTAGACCAACTGTCCCTCATAAGCCAAGACTCAGGCTTTGTATTTTTTGACTTGATTTCCTCCTTGCGGGTATAAATAGTGGTGTAAATATATTGGGAGAGATGGCTGGAAATTAATAGGGCAAGCTCCTGTATGCAATTGGTGTAACTCCTCTATTGGTCGTCAAGGCGAGATGAGGCGTGGTTAGAGAGAGGTTGAGGACTCAGATTGTTGAAATTGGTGCTTCCAATTATGGTAAAGACAGGGATGTGTCGAAAACACGTCACTAATCTCCCATTAATTGTGAGGTTAGTATTAATGCGCTGTGACGTAAATACCAACCACTAGATTTTATTATTACAAAATATAGTTTATATAGCACTCTGTGTCCTAGTAGGAGTAATTAACAACTCTCCACGACAGATTTACAGACTCCTTTACTTTCCCACTCGCTTCACCAAGTGATACAATCTGTGCCTAACAGCCACAAGCTTTTGCAAACCAATCCGCTCAACACAGATGAGCATGAAAAGAGAGGCATTTTCGAGAAGTCGTTAAATGGAGATATGCTTGTGTTTGCCTTCGACTTTGTGCAGAGCACACTGAGCAATCACACCGGCACCACTGTGAGGTGAAGAATTCGTCTTTGCCGGCCCCTATTAATACTATAGCTCCGCTTAGATTACAGAAACAAACCCATCTAAGATTTCTTAATGCAGTGCTAGCATTATACACCTAGTGCAAGTTGCGTTATGCATGGTGATGTGAGAGGATGGCAATAGGGTGAATAGCTATCCACACGAAGGTATCCAAAACGAGGTTCGAACTTGATTTCATTTCACCCAATTAAGCACCCTATGGGTTAATGCAGGTAACTATTTTCATTGTTTACGAAGGAGGAAACTAATTTGGTGAAAACCCCTGATCCTGTCTGTTTATATTCCTATTGTAAACGTGTGACGAAACCAAGCTGGTTGTAGTGTACTTTTAGAAAGATTAAACTATATGAAGAGGGAAGTTCCACAGCTTCGGGCAATGACTATTTGCACATCCTTCTAGCTCATCCAGTACGTACTCTGTTGGTGAGAATGACATATTGCTCGGCCACTGCCCGTCGTCATCTTTGCCATCTAGCTGACTCTCTCACTTGGCAATTCTACATCGCCGTCTCACATTCCTTCCTAGCTCCAATGTAATGTGGCCAGGTGAAACTTAGTTGCTTGATACAAGATAATATGTAACACTCTCCCTAAAACGCCCCCAAACTCCGCTTAGGTCTCTAACTAAGCTAAACCACGGTCAAACTGTAACAAAACGTTATTGGTCCAAGCTTGTATTACAACTAAATCACGAAGTTTCTCAATCTAGGTTCAACGACAAAGACCGCCCTTCTTATGTGTATGTATGCACGGATCACCTTGGATGCCTGCATAACTCCCAGTCCTTTTATATTACATGACTGCATAACTAGAGCTGACTATACTTAAATATGCATCTGCTCACACCTATCAATTTATTTAGTTTACCTTTAGGAAGTGTGGTGTACACTGTTCAGTCAGTGTGGATTCCTTTCTCTCTCCTTCTAGATCGTTTTATTCCATCCGAAATTGCTACCTCGACTTCCCCTGCAAGACGAAACTGTTTTATCCACCCTTTGCTTAGCATCCACTGTGTGATTCTAGCAACATCTTCTGGGCTGTTTATCATGGCCTCAAATAGCCTGTCTTTAGCTCGTCGGACAAAGTCGCCTCTTCCATTTGCCCACTGTGGACATGCCAACGCCGTGTGCTTATCGTCTTGTGACGGATATCCACATGGACAGCTTGGCTTTTCTACTCCGGGTGCTTTTCTTCTGCACAGGTAAGAATTGAACGCGACGTTCTTGCTTCTTAGCTGCGTGGCGACAAGGCATTGGGTCCTGGTCAGGTTGCGGTGGATTTTCAAGGGTGCGTCTTTGAAATTCATTTTGGTGCTGACTATTTGTTCATCAGTAAATACATTTGCCGCCTTCCAATGTTTTGGATCGGCTGATGCTGGTCGGTCGGGGCGCTGTTCCCTGTTCTGGCTTGTCCATGAAACTTTCCACTCCTGAAAGGCCGCTATCTTTCCAGCTTCTTTCTGCCTCTCCTTTGTCCTTTTCCCTTGGGCAAGTTCGTGTCCATTCGGCGATATCTCCACTCCCGTTCAAGTCACGGCGTGCTATTTTATAAATTAATGCAACTAAGCGAAGAACACAACTACCTGCTCGTTGTGTGTGATGGGAGGCTAGAAATGAATGAGTGTCTCGGACTCTGGCTAGTAAAGGAATGAGTCTTTCCGCGTTTGTTGGACATTCTGACTCTCGAATTTAGGACTCACTTGTTATCTGATTCGTTCGAGGTTCCCGACGAGATCGACTCTTTCTAAACATGTCCCGAGTGCGCTAATCCAACCTATTGTTGCATATACGATTGAGTATTTACATTCTACAGTAAACCTTAGCTCATCATGGTAGATGAGAGATGGCTAGTCATTAATAAGTTTGATAGACACTTAAGACTAGTGGGAATTTCTCCCTTGGATGTAAAATTCCAATATTTCCATACTTGTAAAATGTCAAGTCTTATTTACTTCACCATCCTACATCCATATAATAATGTACAGAGTAAATTTTTTGACAACATTCCATGTCAGTGTGTAACGGCTTGTGAGCCGATTGTTGTCTGGCACGTGATTGTATTCACGTGCTTCTTTAATTCTATAGTAGTCTAGCTTTATTCCAAATCAGTTCAGCTGTGACTGGAATATTCTAGTAATTGGTAGCAAGACTGGGAACTACTATGACTGGAATATACGAGAAGCAGATAGCAGCCAAGAACGAGTATTCTAGAGATCTTCATAAATATACAAATAGTTGAAGTAATACTCTGATAGTTAGCCATAGATAAAATTATAAACTACCTTTGTATATCTGATTGCTCCCGCATCGACACTCGAACGGTGACACAGTGATAGTCTTCAATGCCTAGTAGCATCAGTCGCAGCAGTAATCAGATGCCACATATGAAATATATACATTGTTTCCATAGATTGACACATCTCAATTTTCAAGGTTGGAGATTTGAGTGGGAGATTATAGAGACACTTTGACTCTGGACGTAATCGTAAATAGCCCCTAGGAGGCCTTGTTATTCTCTACTAAATATCTTCAGTGAAAAAACGATGCTGAGATGATGAGGAGATGGATAGATAAGGTGAGGTTCGGAACTAGAGTAGATGACGAACCAAAGGCAGGAAAGATTCCAATAACTCGGGTTCATGGTGATCGA